TGATGATCGTACATCACATGCCAGGCTTCCCGACAACATATTGAAGAATCGTTCCAAAGTTGTGTTACCACGTAAGTTCTTCTATTTAGTAATTGTTATCTATATCCAAAATTATCAAATGCATACTTATAACAGATTATTATTATGATAGGTTATGTCGAATAGTTATGGTTCATTTATTTATCTATTTATTTAAATAAGTTGTATCTTGATTCATTTATCTTATAAAGTAAATAAAGCTCGTCCTTTCTTGATGACTCCATGCGCCAACGGAAATGATTACATCAACGCATCATTCTGCAACGTAAGTAAAACTTTCTGAGCAAATCATTAATAAACTGCATATTTTATTTAATTTTGTTCTCTAAACTATTATTATTATTATTATTAATATTATTATTATTATTATCCTTATTATCATTATTATCATTATTATCATTATTATCATCACCAATATCAAATACTTTGTCATTTCATGTGAATCTCGAATAAAAAATTATTATTATTATTATTATTATTATTATTATCATCATTATTATCCTTATTATCATTATTATCATCACCATTATCAAATACTGTGTCATTTCATGTGAATCTCAAATAAAAAATAATGGCCACATTCCACAATCTGTATTTGAAGAATATATCTGTTTTGTTTTACATTACAGGGCTACAACAAGAAAAACGCATTTATTGTCGCCCAGGCCCCAATGTCTGAGCCTGCTGACACTACTGTTGATTTTTGGCGTTTAGTGTTAGATTACAAGACTGACATAATCGTACAACTGAATGACAAAGACGAAACTTGCGCCGCATACCTTCCTCAACAGATGAATGAAGAGCTGAAGATTGATAAATTTACCATTAGCATCAAATCGTCTGAGCAGAACGACTTAATGATCGAACGGAAAATCATGCTACAGAAGGTCGTGCACATACTTCATTTACTCAAATATAACTCTCTTCTTATTTTTAGTGGCTACGTAAAAAAGTTTTAATACACTTTTTATTCATTTTTTTCCAATTGCTATACAACCAGTGGCATCACGCTCGGGCGCTGACGGGACAGAGCGCCAGAACCCCCAGGCATGAGGGGCCCGACGTAGTTCAAAAAATATATAATATAAACTATAATACCATAGTTTTATTCAACAGGGCCCCAACAGTTTTAAGCAATAAAATCTGGGCTCTGATGTTTGAAATTTGCTTCTGATTTTGTGATCAATCTGCTGTGCATTGTATATATATTATGAAAACATGTTTTGTTTTTCACTAAAATATTCTTTGTACTTATTTACACATACATAGAGTACTAGGCCTACTGTAGGCCTATACCAGTTCCGAAAGTTGGCCTATGTAATCTATGTTGTCTGAAATATTTGTTCTCTGTTAACTCAGTTGAACAGTTCATAAATGACATACTGTCAGCTCTGAGCACAAAAGGCCCCTCGGACCCCCACCAGGGGCCTTGACTCCGACTGCGGGCCCTACGTGTCCCTTGGTCCCCAGCGTCCCTTGGCCCCCAGCGTCTCTTTGCTCACTTATTAGAGGGCCCAAAACAGTCAGCGCCAGGGCCGCACAAACTTTTTGACACCACTGCATAAAACCCATTAAAATGCGTAAAAATGTCAGTTATTAAAGTTAATGTCAGAATTAAAAGTTAGGCCTACTTAGATTCTCTTCTGACACTCGGCACCAAAATGTTCATGAATATTTCCTCTTAAATCCTATAACCAACGGTTCTATTTGGAACATTTGAAAATAGTGTGGGCCGTCCATAATTTCATTGGCTTAATATGTTGTATTTCTTTTTCAATTCAGGACAATGATGTACAAGAGATTCTGCACTTCGAGTTTCGGCAGTGGTCTAAGGCAGAACCTGTTCCGAAGGTTGACTCGTTTGTCCGGTTTATTGCTGCCGTTCAAAGTGGTCACATTCCTCAAAGTAATCGGCCAATCATCATACACTGCCTGTGTGTTTAAATTTATTTATAATTTCTTCATTAATTTATTTGACCAAAATCGAAAGTTTACAGACAAAATACTTAAGTAAAAAGCCTCATAGTCATATATAATACTGATATATTTATAGTAGTCATAAATATTTATTTGTATTATGCTAATATGTTTTGCTATTGATTGATATTTAGGGATGGCGCGGTTCGATCAGGATTGTTCTGCTCTGTTTATTCAATAATCGATAAAATTAAAGAAGAGAAAATTTTAGATGTATTCCAAATACTGAAAACCCTGCGATCTGTTTGCCCTACAATGGTGAACACTAAGGTAGGTTCTATTGGGAAATAATATTATTTAAATGTCTAATGTTATTGTAAGAGTCAATGAAAGGTAATTATACAAAGCCACAAAAACTGTATTATTATTATTATTATTTTTTTATCATTATTATTATTTCATTCATTCATTATTATTTTCTTATTAATCTATGTTATCTTAAATTAAAATAACAATAAAAGATATCTTAGTAGCAATTTATTCCAAAAGAAACACACATACCTGTACAAGATTTTTACATGAACTATAAGCCTTATTATTAGGCTTAGCGAGTGGAAATTTTTTATTTTTATTTTTTTTTTTTTTTTTTGTAACTTTTGTTACTGTAGTGGGATTTGAACCAGAACTGTGGAATTTGAAAACCAAGCTACAGCTCCACTTTATAATGAAGAAAATAATAATTAATAAAAAAAAATAAGTTATACCAGCAATAAAAAGTGTAATCTGAAGCCGTTAAAAATATACATTTTATTAATAAAAAAAATATGAAATGATCGGAGTAAAAATAATCATGTTTATTACAATAATTATCATAATGTTTGAATGACATTGACAATTATGATAATGTAATAATTATTCTGATACTGGCAGCTTAGCGTAATTGTATTATTATTATTATTATTATTACTTTAATGTCATTCTTAGAAATAGTATTAATATTTATGATATTGATAGTAATTTATATTATAAATTAATGCTTTCTTAGACATTTAAAGACATACTTAATTTATGTAATACTTGTAATATTTTATTTTTATTTTGTAGGTGCAGTATAGCTTTTGCTATGATGCAGCGCGGTGTTACCTTGACGGATTTGAAGCTTATGTCAACTTTTAGTTATAACATAGTCCATACCGTATGGTACTCAGAAGACACCTGATAGTCATAAGTTTATTACTGTTAATTTAATTGTTAAACTGGATAAGTATTATCATTTACTAAAATATATATCATAAAATAGTATCTTTGTTTTCACATCAAACAGCAAAAAAAGTTACAAAACTATTACAGAATTCAAATAAATGAAATCTCTATTGCAATGGCAAATGAATGTTTTAATATTTAAGTTGTAAAAAAAAAAACAATTAATGAACATACAATATTACAATACAAACCTGTTTACAAACAATTCTGAAAAATAAGTGACACACACGTCATCTGTTCAAATAAAAACAGAGCAAATCAAAGCACTGTAAGGTAGAGGAAGAAGCATGCTATCATTATTCAGATTGAATGATTGTTCTATAGTAGTGGAACAAGTCATCTCGGCTAGGGATTCTAAAGCATGGTTTCCATAAAAATCGCTACACAGTCGCCAGAGCCTTTTCATTGCAATCCCTACACTTCGCAGCAGTCCCCGACGCAATCGGGAATGCTTCCTCCTTCAACTGACCAATCAGCATCGCCAAATAAGTTGGTGATGGCGTGTAGCGATTTTATGGAAACCAGGCTTAGGTCGTAGGTTCACTCAATAGGCTTGGTTCACTTTATAGAACCTGGAATATCACTGAAGAATGACCATTTTCTTTATTTACTAAAGTTGAAATGTTACCATAACAGTTTAAAAAAAAAAACTATGTTCACCGTCACAAAAAGTCAGTGGTAGAGGGTAGTGATTCTATAGAACAATGTTATATTTAATATACGGTACAATGTATTGGACAATTTTAATTGACCTTTCTAAAAATGACTAGATAATCACAAAATTACAAATATTGTTGCAATAGACAAAATGGAATCTACACATTTTGGCAGTTTTAGCGAAGGGGAGGTTGTAAACAGGTCGCAGGTATTAGAAAGACAAAAAGTAATATTACCAAACGATATGAAACATTTTACAAAATATACACTGTTATTTTTGAGGATTGATTTTAACTCCAACTCCTTAAAAGGTAATGCCTTGAAAATGACAGTGTAGCCAATATTGTATCCTATTTTCCAATAATTTATAATTGCTTTAGATATATATCTAAATATGTATTCATAGGCACCATCATGTTCACTCTTTTTATGTATTGATTGTAATTTCTGGTTTAATGGTCAAGGATTTTTATTTTTATAGATTTTGATCTATTTTTACTAACAGATAATTAGTTTTTTTGTATTTTTTATTTGATTTATACTTTAAGAATCAATCTTTAAAACATTATTTTTTAAGAAAGTCAAGTCATTATAATGTTGATAAAACACAATACATCACCTCATCTAAAAATCAATAATGGTGAGTGTTTTGTCTAATGGCCGCATGATTTGGCTCCAGATGTTGCTTTCGAAATTCCTTGAATGCTGTGTTTAATTATAAGGCTTGTAGATTATCTAGGCAGATTATGCTATTGACAGTGTCAACAGAAAATTCATGACAAAGTACTACTGTATCAATAATTCAAAATGGGAATTATCCATAATAATGTTGAGTTTATTGCGATCTAGTAAACACACCTTAGGTCTACACAAAAAATAATTTATTGAACTTGAAAAAAAAAATATTTTAAGGTAGAATATTTTACAAATATAATACAAATAACCAAAATAATGAAATCTAGTCTTAGGATACAGACTAGTATATAATTGTAATCAGGTCTCAGTTTATGGAACGATAAAAGTTTTAATGTCAAGCGACATAAAACAATGTACAAGTTATTTATAGCATTCTTTTAATTATTATTAATTAACGGAAAATTAATCAGCACGAGATATTAATTTTCTAGAGCGATTTACTTTCATATAATGTTGTTAAAAATATCTTGTTCTTTGTAAGACAACCTCTATTATGATGACAGATTTGTTATTGAATTAAATAGGCATACACTGAACCATTTGTTTCTGAATCGAATTATCTTTATTGCTGGCTGGTAGAAATGGCAACAGCGCTGGTTCTTAACGCATTTACTTTATGACCGAGATAAAAAAAAATAAATGTTATGTCAAACCCCCATTATTATAGGGATATTTCAGGCTTTAAACACGTTTTACTACTGAGATCATAAATCATCACATACGCACCTACAAGACAAAAGCAATATAAATGGTCCTCGATAAAAGATACCCCAACATATCAAAACACTATTGCAAACCAAAGAAATGCCCACACCCCTTGAAACAATAAAAAAAAAAAAAAAAAACGAGATTAAATTGCCTTTCACATCTATTCAGGTTCCGTTTCCAGTTCCGGTACCGGTTAAGAAATCGGACTTGTATTCTTCACATCTATTCCTATCCGGTGGCCGGGTCCGGCATCCGGCAACCGGATCAAATCGGTCCTGGAGCGATTTTTTTTAACCGGATTCAAAACTTGTTTAAGCCTAGCCTATGCTAGAACTTGGCTATGTTATTAAGCCTACTATATTATATAAATATACGGTTTTAATAGATAAGATTAATTTAACATGGACATAGTAATTCATAATTAAACAATACATTACATTTAAATGTAATATAATAATGTTAATGAATAAATAACAATAATTAAAACATGTACATAGTATCTACAATAATAAAATTATTTTCCAAACATAAACAGTACGATGCAACTCGCGACGCAAGTTCCTCGTACTGCGTACGTGACGTCTGCGTGATGCCAGCTTCAAACGCAGTAGATTTGAACAGAATCGACAAAAACTGGACGAGGAACCGGAACTGAAAACGGAACCTGAACTGGAACCTGAATAGATGTGAAAGGCACTTAAAGATTGCTACATCAGTCAAGTCTCCAAACAACATTCTACGATGCTACATTCCCTCAAAATATAGGACTTTAATCTCAAGCCTTTTCTCAAATCATGATTTATTAATTGAAAAAGGTCGCTAAGTAGTAGAGAAAACAAAATCGCTAACTTTTAATTAAACATATGGTTTTAAATTATTGTAACGTGTAAGCTACCGGTTCTAAAATAATAATAATAATAATATTAGTAATAATAATAATAATAATACTGATGTAGTTTTATGTAAAAAAATAACATTCAGAGATGATAGACGATCACAAGTAGCAATATAATGGTTCCAATCGCCGGTTGATTGGATTGGATATAGTTGGTGTAAGCACCAAGGATAACCCACGAAAGTCTGAAGAAGACTTATTTCCAGTTGGGTCCTTCTGGCGGTGATTGAGCAGTATACTGGACCGGGAGACAATCCCCCAACTCTTTTCCGAATAGTTCAGCGTTTTTTAACGTGCACCCGTGCCATAATGCACACGGGACCAACGGCTTAAACGTCTCATCCGAAAGACGGTGCGCTATTGTAACTTGCATTTTAGCCCTCCAGGGAAAACACAAAAGGAGCAGCGATGGGAATTGAACCGGGGACCTACAGATATCCATGGTTCAGCGCACACACAGTGGCTACCACCACCACCAAATATAATGAGTAAATAAATAGTTATTATTTTTTGACAATTATTACATGATAAATGAACTATACATAAAAACGATATGTTTCGACGTACTACACGTCATCATCAGGCAATGTCGTGTATGACCTGCCGGGTTTCATACAACCGGTCAAATACAAGGGAAGTTATGTATATTAATTATTAATGCGGAATACTGTGGTAAGTCGTATAAAGATTTCGAATGAAAGAGTAATGTTGTAATGAGTTGTTTGTTAAATGAAGGATTTCTCCCAATGTAATGGGCTTTCTTTAATTTTAAGTTGGTAATTAGAGTAGTGAAACAATGTGAATTAGATGTGTCTTCGCATGTAACTGATTTTTAGAAAGTGTTGAAAATGTGTGAGGACTTGTCTCGCGTCTCGGATCAAGTGCTGCTTTGCTCGTGTTTTTAGGTTTCTATTGGTATCACATACCCAGTTGCACCCCGCGCAAGTAAATTCATAGAAAACATGGGATTAGTTGGGACACAGTCTTTTACTTTGAAAAAGAATAGATAATTTAAAAGATTTAAAGGAAGTTTTACATTAATATTTGAGTAATTATTTTTGACCATGGATTTGATTTCTTCTTTTCAGGGATATACTACACCACATGAGTTTATTGCGTGTCAAGGTAAATAATGTTGAATGATTGTACCCTTCATACCATCATACGGTACATTTTAATTCAACAGCGCTGTGCGTTCGTTACGTATTTTAATTATTCCGCGTTTATAATTTCATGTCCAACTGTTGCATCAGTCAATGATATGTGGAGAATGATTTGGCAGAAAAAGTCTACGATTATTGTGGTAGTTACCAACGTTGTTGGGGTATGTGTCTTCAATATGTAGAGGGATGTGTTGATTATGGTAGTGTTTTATGAGAGCGAGGTTTTAATAGGCATATGTCGTTTTTTCCTAAATAATAAATTAAAAAACGATGTTTGACGACTATTTTATTATGACCATTTGCAGCGAAAACGTGAGCAATACTGCCCAGATCAAAATGATAGTAATTTATACGCAAATATTGCTGTAACGAACGGCGGCGAGACCAACTATGGGAACTATGTGGTTCGAAATCTACAACTTCAAAAGGTTTTTCTTTTAAATTATTAAACCATTATCCTTGTCATAAAAATCATTGAAAAACTAAATTTAATTGTTTAGACAATAATGTATTGCATGGAGTTTTCGTAGTTGACCTAGCTAAATTCCTCCTCGTTCTAATCCCAAGGAAATGTGATTAAATTGTTTAATTCCAATAAAACAATTTATCACATCATATATTTTCCAGTAGGCCTAGTAGGCCTAGCGAAACTTTCCTTTTACAACATATTTATATTTATTTAAATAATTATACATCTCTCTTTATTGTCTCCCTTCAAACATACACATATACAATAAACATAAACATAAAGACCAAAATGAAACCCTTCGCTTATCGAGTTTTGGTCTTTAAATATAATATAAATTAAAATACTGAATTGATAGCCTAAAATGCACTAAAAAATAATAATTGATAATGGTAATAATAATGATCGTAGTAATAATAATAATACCTAAAATAATAAGTAAACAAAATAGTGTCATTAATTAAACAATATTACTGTCAAATACGAAGTTACAGAAGCAATGTTTTTTGAAAATTAATATTTAGCTAATAAATATTGTTTGGTTTTAAATGAAAATATTTTCTTTGATTTTGGTATATTGGTATATAATTTTGGTATATTATTGGTATGTTATTCAAATATTGGTATTCCAATTATTTTTATATTATTTCAATGTTTTAGGCCATGATAAATTAGGCCTAGGCTATAATGGTCTGGGCAAGTTAAGTGCGAAGTTGAGGAATTATTAATTAAAAGGGTTGTTAAATTTAGTATCCTTGGGACGAGTTACAAATTTATAATATATATCAATAGTATGTAGTAATCTAAAATAGAACAGATATATGTTTTAGTACACATAAATTGTACAACTTAAAAATATCTAAAATATTGAGTTTAAACAAGGGAATAGATTGAGCTCTAAAATCAGAGAACGTAACACATCGAATATATATTTTTTAATAAGAAAAATATTGTTTAAATAAGTACTTCCCCAAACTTCGATCTCATTGGTTAATAAAGGCTAAATATAAAAATAAAAGAATTATGAATGAGCAATAAAATAGAGTGGAATAAAATATCTTAACTTATATAGAATACCTATTTTTTTCCTTACATTTTTACACAGATTATTAATATGATTTTTCCATGACAAATGCCGTAAAACTCATGGACAAAATCCCTACCGTATTTACAGACAAGGCACGATTCGGTTAACTGCTTTGCCTGTATTATGAAATAAAATGTAGTTAGTTTTGCTAGAATTAATTGTTAACATAGAATTACACCATTCTGATACTTTAAATTTAAATTTTCATTTGCTTCATTAAGATCAATTGTATTAGATGAAAATGAATTGGCAAATAAACGAAAATCGAAATAACCAATTGAATTAGGGAGGTCGTTAATATATATTAGAAAAGTATTGGACTAAGAACAGAACCTTGTGGTGCACTATGAATTATTTCCCTCTAATTTGAACGGAAGTTGTCGTTACATACGGTATATATTGGGTTCTATTTCTTAAATAATCAATTAACCAAAGTAGGGTTCAAATCGGATACCGTAATTAGATACTAAAATATTATGATTAATAATATCAAACGCTTTACTAAACTCAATAAAAATTCCAAGAGAACAATAACTTTTATTAATATCCGAAAGTAATACGATAACTAAATTAATTAAAGATAATGTTGTATATACTGTACGATTGAGATACGAATTACAGTATTGACACACGATTAATTACTTTAAAGGTTGGGACGGAAGAGGTACATAGTGTAGTTCAGTATCATTTCACTGATTGGCCAGATAAGAGTGTTTCCCCACGCTCTTCCACATTGATTGACTTCATCTACGCGTTTAGGTCAGCACAGCAGAATTCTCCAAGCGACAGTGGACCAGTAATAGTACACTGCAGGGACATAATAATGTACAACAACCATTTAATATTATTATTACTTCGCCATGCGAACCTTCAAACAATAGTAATACTTCGTCCAAAACCAGAGTACTGTCGCTAATTG